CCTAACCCCCCCCCCCCCCCCCCCCTCCCCCCTCCCCTCAACACGCCGCACTGTCTAGCAATTAAAGTTAACCAATCGTAAGCCAGGACGGTTGGATCCTCGCGCGGGGACTGGTCGACAGCCATTTAAGGTACGGACTGTGTCCCAAATAGGAGAAACCTTTGTCAGCATTTTGTCAGATTCCCTCATTTAAAGAACAGCTACGCCACAACACCGCTTCCGCCTCGCAAGCTCGGCTCCGACGGTGCTGTGGCTTCGCTGAAAAAGAAAAAAAAAGGAGAGATGACGAGTTCCCTCCAGGAGAGTAAAATCAGCCAATCCCAATGCTTAACCTGCGCACATGTCTCGCCCCCTTGCCCGGTTATTCCCTCACCCAAAACCAGGACGGGCCAGTCCAATGTTGGACTTTTTTTGCGGGGACGTTCCGTTGGCCAACGCCCCCTGCGCTGGCTGGCCGGTCCACGGAACAGCTACTAAAATAGCGCCACGGGTCACACACACACACACACCCACTTCGAGGCTGGCCACCTTTTTTTGATGGGAAAACAAACAGCTCCAAGTCGTTGTGCGAACCAAGTGCCTACACCTAGAAACAGGTGACTATGAGCCTCTGGCGCAACAGACTACCCCTTGGAGGCACACACAAACTGGAGCTGTCACTCCTCTCCCCCCTTGACGCCGGGTCGCGTGAGAAGTCGGGCGAGGCACGCAGTGCTTCAGGGAAATTTTAGGGGTCCTCCCGTGCTCTCATCCGGGCTGCCGGGGCTGCCCACCCAAGCAAGGCTCAAAACCGGGTGGTGGGTGGCCATCAATGTGTGGCGATGCAACGACGGGCCCTTTTTGTTCCACAAGGGGAAAGTACACATGAAAAAAAAGGACAGGGCGCGCGTGCTGCACTTCTTGTCATAAGAAAATAAACGATGGCGACATTTGGGATACACGGGCACTCACATCATTCTTTCCCTTTTGTTCTTTTCCCGCCCTTCTTTTCGTCCAGGGTGATCCTCCCACCCTCCCTCTCCTCGACTTGCGTCATGCTAGCCCCGAATGGGCTGACCGCCTAGTCCTGGCCCCCTAGCCAGCCCGATCAGAGGGTGGGGGCGTGGCACCCCTCCTCCGAGGACGGGGCTGCGTCTTTCGCTGAGCACCCCTCCATGGACATGCGCCGCCATCCTTGTAGGCAACCCCCGTCACGCGGGGAGGCGGGCGGGCGCAAGGCTGCGCGGCGAACCCGACGCGCGACTTTCCGCGACACAATGTTGGGGGCGCGGGCAGGCACATTACATCACGATAACTGCGCTGTCTCTGCCGTACATGGGGGAAATTCTAGTATTGATGCAGTAGGAGATGCCGATGTATCTCCATGGTCTTCACTCTATCGGGCCGCGCCGGAGAGACAAGGAGGTTCACCATGTCGGAAAGTCATAACGTTACAGCGGTCCTCCCTGTCGCTGGTCTGTCGCCTCTTTCATCGCCGCGCGCCTTGCTTCGGGGCTGAAGCAACCAGTTCCCCTAATGTACTGCGGTCAGGGCCTGCCGTTGCTGCCTAGCATAATGTCTAAAGTGCCGTCTAGACCAAGGCATGCTATATGCCAGCCTGTCGAGAGACGGTCCGATCGACGAGAATCTTGCTCGATTCCGCCAACGGCCCGCCTGTCGCGCCCTCGGAGCTCTCCCAACCATTGCCTTCCCTTCCTTGCGAACCACCGCCCTATTGACGGTTCACCTGGTAGTTCTCGTCGGGCAGGTAGAGGTGCCTGTCGGCGCCCTGGGCCGTCAAGACGACCATGCGGATAACACCACCAGAGCTGCCGTCCCACTTAATAGCCTCGCCTAGGGCGCCCTTGACGAACGCCACAGCCTCCTTTTCCTCCATACCCTCGCGCCAGTTCGCATCGCAGTAACCGTAGATGTACGTCGATCCGGAGCCGCCGATTGCGTAAGCCTGCTTGTGCAGCGATCCGCCGAGCGGGATCGAGTAGACTTGTCCCCCATGCCTCTCATCCCAGCCGGCAATGATGAGTCCGGCCCTGTAGTCCACAGCGGTCTGTTGTTAGACTCTGTGGAGCATCTCGGGGCCTGAGGCGAACTGCCAAACAGGACGGAACGAGGAGTAGGTACTTACGACAAGCGGTCCTTGTTAGAATAGCACATTTCCTGAAAGATGGCGGCGGCAGTCTGGGTCGTGGGGGGTTTGCCGTTCATCATGTGGAAGAGGCCGAGCTGGTACTGGACGATGTCGGCGACCGCCTGCGTGTCCGCCGCGGACCCGGAACGACAGCACCAGATGGTGTCGTGGACTCTGGTAAGCTTATCCGTCACTCGATTCGCAATGTAGGCGCCCGTCGTCGTCCGTGAGTCGGCTCCTATGTTGCCACAAGTAGTCTAGAGTTAGCGGTTTGCGCAGGATGAAATCTGGGGTGTGGGCCACAATAATAAAGGCCTAAGAGTTGACGTACCTAGAATCACGCCGTCCTTGAAGGTGACTGCCATGCTGTCATGATGTCAGAGGTCGGGCTCCGGGGTATGCGCAGCGCGGGACGCATGGGGCGGGGCCGGCTTACATCGAAGTACCGAGGCTGCGAGTACCTGTTAGCATGCTGGGCGCAAGGGGACACTATGGCTCATCCCTGATCGGAGGATGAGAGCGTACTCACTTGACTTCGCCCTTCTTCAGGCGGTCCATGTCGAGATGGATGCCATCTGTGTCCTCCGTCAGCGGATGCGCTCCAGGTTCGGTCGGAGCTGCCCGCCCAGCGTGGGTGCCCACCTTCATTCAACATTCCCGAATTGCCGAACTCCATGGTAGCTGTCACGGTGTGGGTGCGTGGGTAGTTCGGTTGGTGTTTGGCGAAGCAAAGGAATTATCGGCGTTTCGTTGCTGGACGTGGAGGATGCGAGTTTCTGTGCCCAAGTGCAATCGGGAGGCTGCGGCTTGCAGTCAAACACAGCTCTAGACAAGGCGGAAGCTCCAGCGGAGCTGAGCTCAGGCAACCTAGAACGCGTTGACAGCTGACCGCCTGGCAGAATTGGTGAGGTGGGCGGGCGGTCTCGTGCGCAGGCACGTGCGGGGTAAAGGTCCGAAGTTGCAATGAAGGCATATAGATGGTTGTTTGTCACATTTGTTAGGCAAGCCATACAAAAAGACTGACACATACAAACATACCCACAGGAAGTCCCCCAATTGCAGGCTGGCCCTCTCCATATGCTTAAACGGCGATGGCTTTACTTTCGGGAGCGTCGAGAGTGACTAGGAGTGGCTGATCCGAGTTAGGTACCTAGGTAGGTAGGCAGTCAGGGTGAGCCACGCTTCCCTTTGGCCTTTGTCCCCCTTTCAATAGTAGATACTAACGGCCACGAAAACAGGCGTCTACCGTGTCTCTTTCGCCGTCGGCTGCCGCCTAGCAGGGAACATGAGTGCCCCGCCGCAGTCGGGGATTGCAAAGAAGCTGTACGCTGGCTTCACTCGCTAGCCGGTGGCGTGGCGCGCATGGGTCTCGACATTTTCCAGGTCGTAATATGCGATGCGTCGGCCGGGCTGCTTATGCCAGCTCAGTTGGTTGCCAGATGCTGCGGCCCAGCTGGCCACATGATTGTGGTTAGCTTAGTCGATGCCCGAAGGGCTCCCTGACGCCCAATCCACTCTGCCCCTAGTTTCCAATCTACTCGACTACCGATTCCCGGCTCACTAAGTGGACGCTGCCAACCCCAAAGAGCCGCAGGCTTTTGAACTTCATTTTTTTGATGGGCCCCTCTCCCGTCCCGGAATCACTTTCGAACCGAGGCATTTAAACGTTGTAGGCCCGAGTTTTGCTTGGCTCGATTCCGCTTTGATGTTGTAGCCCTTTCTATGACCCAAAACCCACGCAAGCATTACCCTCATCTTTACTGTGGCCCAAAATGTACGTTTTCTCATCGTGGGGGGCCTCTAAAGGCTCCGAGTATCCTACAGGAGCACCCAGCGAATCACACGGAAGGCTGCTCCCGAGGACCGAAGACGAGGCTCGCTGCCACATCCAAGAAATCCGAGACGAGAAGATTAAGGGCTACCAGGGCGGGATGGCCAAAGATTTCAAGAACGCGCTCGACGTGTAAGCTAATGTCTTTCCAAGAAGTGTGGTGATGAGACAGAGAATAATGAATGAAAAATCGGGGCATGGCAGGATATCCAATGAACTGTACCCAAACTCGACCGACTTCCTGCTGGAGATATTCCAGAACGCCGACGACAACGCGTACTCGAGTTCCGTTACTCCAAAGCTCTGGATCACGTACTTGGACGACGACACACTAATGTTCGACACCAACGAGATCGGCTTTCGCCGTGCCGACGTCGAGGGCATCTGTGGCGTCGGCCGGAGTTCCAAGCAGGAGAATCTGGCAGAGGTGACTAGGGCCGGCGAGAGGCGAATAGGCGAGAAGGGCATTGGGTTCAAGGCCGTCTTCAAGGTTGCGGACGAGGTGTATGTGAAATCGGGTTTTTACTCTTTCAAGTTTACCGACAAGGCTGTGCCGGGGGCGCCAGAGGCTTCGCTCGGCAGAGTAGCGCCGGAGTGGGCCAGCTTCCCAGCCCAGGCCCGCCGCAGGGGAGGTACTTCGATCCTTCTCAAGCTGCGCCGGTATATTGACCGCCAGAAGCTTGCCGGGGACATCATGAAGCTGGACGCCAAACTACTGATGTTCCTCAACAGGGTGAAGGAGGTGGAGATTGAGGCGTTGCGGGAGCCGCGGGTCGTTTTGCGGAGAGAAGACCGGACAGACAGCAGCACCGGAATTCCCTGCCGGGTCCTAAAGCCGGATGTGTCATCGCCGTACATTCTGTTCCACCACCCGGTGTCCGGCCTTCCAGCGGAGAAGAAGCGGAAGGGGCTGGCCCAGTCGGAGATGGTCCTCGCCATCCCGTACGACGGCACCCGGGATGGCGCTGCACTCACACAGACGCACAATGTCTACTCGTTCCTTCCCATCCGGGATTACGGCTTCAAGTTTGTGCTGCAGGCCGACTTTGTGCTGATTGCCAATCGCAAAGAGATTGATTCGGGCAGTGAGTGGAACAGGGCGCTGCGTGCCCAGCTCCCGACCGCCCTACTTGGGTTTGTGGCCCAGCTTAACCGTTTGGGTCTCCAGTACCGTTGGCCTTCGCTGTTCCCCATCCACGACGAGGGGCACGGTTTCTTCCAAGGGATCAATGCAAAGGTTCTCGAAGAGTTTTCCCGCAGCGCCATTATCGAGTCGATTGGCGGCATGTTGGAGTCCGCGTCCCAGTTATGGCTTGTCCCACACGAGCTGGCCGATATTCCCACAGGCGATGGTGTTGCGCCGGCTCCCATGATCCCGCCCGACTTTTCTCAATTCCGATATGTGTCTTCCAGCTACTCTCACGCGACCTGGGATGGCCTCAGTAACCTTGGGGTGAGAACGCTGTCGGGCGCGAACTTCTTGGAAGCCCTGGGCCACTTCATTTCGCATCATCCACGCCAATTTTACGCCATGCCAAACAGATGGCACTCGCGGTTATCGACCATCCTCGACCAGCTTACCGCCAAACACGAGGGGACGATCACACGGCTCCGCTTTGTGCCTCTGCGGGATGGCACTTTCGTGGCCTTGGATGACGGCCCGGTCCTTTTCCCACTCAAGCCTGGCCCCGGACAGCAGCGCCTCCAAATCCCTGACAAAATCGGTCACTCGGTCGTGCACTCGGACGCGGCCGAAGACCCCGCGCGGCGCAAGCTCCTTCTTAAACTCGGCGCCCGCGACGGAAACACGGAGCAGGTGTGCCGGTTTATTGTACAGGCACACGCTTCGGAATCTTTCGCGCCAAAAGCCGTTGAGCAGAAGATACTAATAGCGCACGCCAAGTTCTTGTATGAGGCCGGCTGGCTGCGCCGGGGGGTCGAAGACTATCTTTGGGTTGTTCTCGAGGACGGCGCAACGCGGCAGCGCAGCTCACACGTTTACCTCGACTCGGTCGTGTGCACCAGTATGAGCTGCATCGCGGGCCACCACCGCGGCCGATTCCCCTTTCTCCACGCTAGCTATCACGCAGCTTTCCCCACGCCCGACCATCGCGATTTTCTGGTCCAGGACCTGCAGCTGGCCGAGATCCCCCGGTTGGTTAACCCGGGCGATACAGCGGCCAAATTCTCGCTCAGCGCCGACTTTCGCTTCCTCATGGACAACCTAGCCACGGCCGAGATGCTGGAGCTGCTCCGCCACAACTGGGACTACTACAGTTGCTGGGTCGTTTCGCCAAACACCTTGCCCATGGCAGCGAACGAGGTGCTGGGGCAGGACAGCGGCAAACCCCACGAGTGCATCAGGGAAGCCATCGCGTCCATGCCCGTCCAGCTCCTGGACGGGCGCTTGGCCAGACTCGGCCAGACCTGCCTCCCGCGCGAGGATGTGCTGGCAGCGTTTGGGCCGGTCAAACCGCCTGTTGGAGCAGCAGGCGTGGCGAATGCTAGGAGCACTATCACAATGGGGGGCTCGCTGGGTGAGCGCGCATTCGCGGCCCTCTCGGTTCCGGAGCTAGACTCGCCTACGTGGGACATGCTCGAGCTATTCGATGTTGTGGTCCGGGTCGGACCCAAGGATTTTGTTCGCCGGCTTCAGCAACTACGGCAAGGTAACCCGACGCAGGAGGAGGTGGCGATCGTTTACGAGAGGATCGAGATGAGCGCCCGGAAGGGCAAGATGATCAAGGCACTGCAGTGAGTTGCTCTTTTTGACTCCTGACAAAGACCGAAAGGTGTAATTACAGGTATATATTAACATGCGCGCACTAGGGCTCTATTTCGACGAGAAAACCTGGTGTTCCTCCCAAGCCACTCACCGGCGTGGGTCGCGCTCAACGACTGTCTGTGGGAGGCGCCCAAGGCGCTGAAGAAGACGCCGCAGCTGAAGGAGCACTACCCCGAGCGGTGGTGGCTGTTTTGTAGGGTGCTGAATATGACCACCACGGCGTCCCTCACCGCCGCCATTGAGGAGGCCAAGCGCATTAGCAAATCAGACTCGCTCCGTTACATCCGAGCGCTGCTCCGGCACATTAGCAAGCTCGCCGGAAAGACCGACTCGCCACGCAACGAGCTCCAGGCCCTGCGCGAGTGTGCCATCCTGCCCGTCTGGGCTGGGATGCCTCGCGATGGGTTCGACTACCTCAGCCCGCCGTTAGGGTGGAAGCGGACGAACGAGTGCTATATCGCCGACAAGCCGTATCTGCGCGAGTGCTTCCAGGGACGGGCGCCGCTGCTTGCCTTTGACAGCCCAGATGTTGAAAAAATCGACATCTTGCTGGTAAGCCTGGACTGCGGGGACCGCAAGCTGTCCAAGCTCGTCCGTAAGATCGAGCCTGGCGCGAAAGGCAAGGCGAGGTCCGACGACGAATACACAAAGTACATGCAGGAGCGTGTCAGGTGTATTTTATGGTATGCTTCCATCATGCATGTCCGTTTGGAGATGTTTGCGATCCTGCTCCCTGCTGACAAGTTCCCCACCACGCAAGCTTGATCCCCAAAGAAAACCCCAGCAGGGCATGCCTTAAAAGGCAGCTGGCAGGCGTACAGGTATTTCGGGTCTGCAAGATTGCAGTGGTTTGGGAGTTCACCAACCGGTGGGGTGTGGTGAGGAAGGGCACACCAGAGCGAGCCGACGCCATGCTGGACGACACGGAGGCAGACGTGCTCAAGGTGTACCTTGAGGAGAAGGTGGTGATAGGCAAGTCTTCGGTCAAGCTCGTCAAAGAGCTGAAGGCGCTCTGCGGAATCGCCGACAATTTGGGGACTTGGCTTTCCCACATCCTGGTTTCGGAAAACCTCCAGGAGCTTGAGCAGGATCTGATGCGCGAGGGCCTGTTGGTGCCGGTTGACGATGACGACGAGCCGGAGTGGGCCGCGCAGCGCGAGGGCCTGCCGGTGTCGGACGATAACGATGATGACGATGACGATGACGACGGTGACGATGATGGCAGGCCGCAGTGGACCGTACAGCCGCAGCCCGAGGGCCGTTTCGGCCGCGAAGATGGAGGTCGGCGGGAAGGCGTGACGGCTTTAACTGGTTCCAAGGCCGGCCCGCACGGCGACGGCAATAGCCCCACCGCTACGGGTGAAGGGCGAAGGGATGCCTTGGAAATGTTACAACTTCTCAACAAGCTACTCCGAGACGTACAGTCTCGAAACGCACGACTGACAGCGGCGCTTCCTAGCCCCAAGGCGTATCCGGGCCGGGTCTCGTCGGACAGGGTTTACAACCCAAACCTACCGAGGAATAAGGACTATTACGGAAGCGGTGTGCAGTCCGTGAGGATACCGATGGCGCCGTTTGAGCGTATCTATGAGGATGAGGAATGCCGCTTTACGGCGGAGCTATACGTGAGTTTCCTTGGCTCTTATTGACCAACGCGGCCGACGAATAGCTGCTCACAGCCTGAACAGGTCAGTGACTTTCTCGCAAGAACGTTCCCGGAGGACTACACCCCACAGAAGCATTGGACGAGCCACATGCGCGGCCGGGCGGGCCACAAGCCGGTCCGGGGCTCGCTGGACACTTGCGTCTCGACCTTTACTCTGGACGACTCAAGCGGGCGGCTCAAGCAGTTTCTGGAGCGCCACGGGCACCACCGGGCCCAGTCTCTCGCTGACGGTTCCAAGTTCCACATCCAAGTCGTGTTTTCTACGGGGTCGGCCAGCGCGTCTTTTGAGCTGGAGGCAGCCCAAGTCACCAAGGTAGGGAACAATGCCTTGTCCAGCCGCTGCCAGAACTAACAACATCAACCCCAGGCCGAGGCCCTCACTCTATCCTCCTGCACCGATAAGAGGCCGCATTCGGAGATGTACCTGCTCGCCTTCGTCTACGATCTTCGGGCGCAGCCGACCATAGCGCTGTTCGCCGACCCCTGGCAGATCAAGGTTGACGGCGCCCTCGCTCTCAAATCGCACAGCAAGTACGAGGGCCGCTTTCACGGGACACCCCCCGTGCTCTTCGCCGCGCGAGGTCACGATGATGGCGACGGCCCCAGTCGAGCCGCCACCCCATCTCCTGACCACGACCAACAACCGCAGCCGGCCCCCTACCAATACAAACACCTTCAGCACGGCGAAATCCGTGTCCTCCACCTCGACGCCAACGTGGACCCCTCAGCCCCCTTGACCGGCTCGATCCAGCACATCCGCCTCGACGCCCATGCCCCTCCCTCCTTCTGGGCAGTCTCTTACGTCTGGGGTATCTCCAACGCCTCTGATGCGCAACACTCGCTGCAAATCCCGTCGGGTGAAACCATCCAGCTCACCCTCTCGCTCTCGCTGGCGCTGCGCGCCCTCCGCAGCAAGGGCGCCGTGTCCGCCCCTCTCTGGGTAGATGCGATATGCATCAACCAATCCGATCCGCGCGAGAAGGCTGTGCAGGTGCGCGCGATGCGGGACTTGTTTGGGCTCGCGGAGCGGGTAGTGGCGTGGCTTGGGCCCGAGTACGAGGGGGGCGCGAGGGCGGTGGAGGCGGTCAAGGCCGCGGCAACGAAGGAGCGGGTTGCGGACCTAGGGGCTTTGTCTTCGTTATTGAAAAGGCAGTGGTTCGCGCGGACGTGGGTTGTGCAGGAGCTGGTCCTCGCACGGGAGGTGGTCCTCATGTGCGGGACAAAGGCCGAGGTCGGGTGGGAGGAGTTCTTTGAGGGCTTGGTCGCGTGCGAGGCGTCGCTGGGTGGTGGCGGGCTGTTGAGGCATGCCGGGCCGGCATACGCGCTCGGGCTGGCGCGGCACAGGAGGCAGATGGGCCGGGGACCGGGGCCGGGACTGTTGGAGCTTCTAGAGCTGTTTTCCCACACGCGCGCGACCAGGGAGGTCGACAAGCTCTTTGCCATGCTGGGGTTGGCCGGGGACGTGGAAAGCGAGGCGTTCGACCCGGACTACGACTCGTCGCTTGAAGAGGTGGTGCGGCGCTATGCCGAGGGCTTCGTGGCCAACGGGCAGGCCTTGGAGCTGCTGTACCGGGCCGGGTCGACCAAGTCGTACCCCTTCTGCTCGTGGATCCCGCGCTGGACGAGCGGCGACTTCCCGCCCACCATCTCGACGTGGGCCGCGGCGGGTGGTGAGTTCCAGGCCGGGCACCGCGTGCCGCCGTCGGTGGAGCTGCTGCCCTTTCCAGGACGCCTGCGGGTGTGCGGTTTCCTTATAGACACGGTCCATCGGACGCAAGCGATACGCACGGGCAACGGCCTGATGCTTCACGACACGGCGCTGCTGGGCGACTTCCGGCAGCTCCTGAGCTACTACTCGGAGGGCTACCCGACGGGCGAGACGGCCGAGGACCTACTACTGCGGCTGCCCATCGGCGACGCGCGGCGTCCGTACTTTGAGCACGCCGACCGGCGGCAGTCGTGCCGCGACGTCGTCGCCCGGACCGGCGGCGCCGCGACCGAGGAGGGGACCAAGGGCACCACCACCACCACCACCGACTCGGAGTGGCCGGCGGGCCTGCGCAGCGCCGTGCTCGGCGGACTGTGCGTCGGCGGCCCGCGGGGCAGGCCGCAGGAGGAGAGCAGCCCGACCGCGGATGCCGTGGCGCAGGCCACCGCCTTCAGCTACTGGTGCACGGCCGCGGCCTTCTCGAACCGGCTCGGCGGGGCCGTCCTTTGCGGCACCGAGAGGCGCTACGTGGGGCTCGTGCCGAGGGCGGCGCGGGCGGGCGACCGCGTCTGCCTCCTGCACGGCGCCAGGGTCCCGTTCGTGCTACGGCCGGTCGATGCCGCCAAGGGCGCGTACCGGCTGATCGGGGAGGCATATATCCACGGCATAATGCACGGCCAGGCCGTGGGGCAGGGGTTAAAAGACGATGAGTTTGTGCTGTCGTAGGTGCGCAAAGGGGCGGTTGGGTTTTTGGCTTGTTGTGACCACTGGAGGTGGCAAGCTCGACCTGGGCAAGGAGGGCAAAGCACTAACGCGATTTACAGCGGTGCAATCCAGGAAACCCTCCCATGTTTAGCACCCATTTAGTTGCCTGCCATGCAACGCTCTTCCATTCCCCGTTCAGTTGCCAAAATTGGTGTTACATCATTTGTTCAGAATAGCTCAGCGAAGTAAATAAGAATGCGATTCACAAGGGACGATGAAGAAGGCAGCGTTGGCGCTACCGGGTGATCAACAGGAGTGGTAGGAATAATAAAGAATAGATCCATCCTATCTCTGCTCTCCACACCTTGATTTTCTGATCATTCACCACCATGCTGCTCAGCCTCATGGTCGAGATGCAAAACCCTCGGGAAAAGAGCAACAACCCTCCATGACTCTCAGCCATCAGGCAGTCAGCCCAAATTTCAGTCGCAGTCTTTCCCCGTATTCCTCGGCTTCCTGGCGCATCCGTTCTCTTGCCTCGTATTCCTTGGCTTCCCGGCACATCCGATCTCTGTCCTCCCAGTCTTCCCACGAGGGTTGTATTAGCGATGGCTCCACCCCGATCAACCGTCCACGCTCGCTACGCACAGGGCGCAAAAAGCTGACGCCGCAGGTGCCTTCCCTGGCCAGCTCATCGTGCACGTTGCCTTCCACCAGCTCGAGAGCCCCATCGTTTGCAAATGGGCCGGGCATAATAGACGCCCACCACTTCAAGTCTAACTTCCGAGGATCAAGGTGCTGACATTCTCGACTGATGTCCCGCTTGCTGATATCCCAATCGCTGATGGCTTGCGCGCGAGGGCGATAACACTCTCTCATCATGCTGAAATACCTGATCCGCCCGAATGGGTTCGTCAAGAGATGCTCGATTTCGTCCCGTCTTCCAGGCGAAATAGAGTCTCCCTTCTCGGCTTCTGTGACCTGGAGAAGATACAGGGCTATGAAGGAGGCGTTGGCCTCCAATAGCATATAACCGCCGAAGCTATATTTGCTTGGCAGACTCAGAGAGACTACCAGCCGCTCTTCCAAGTTGGCTCCATGTTTGTGGAAAGCCATAATGTGATTGAGCGCCCATCTGCTGCAGCCATCATGAACTGCCCTTTGCAGAAAGGAAGCGAAGGACGACATGTAAAAAGCTGTTGTAGAAAAATCACTTCGTGTGGCGAAAGCTCTGTATGCCTTCGAGTAGAAGGTACCCTTCAATCTCACGTCTGCTCCAAGTCCGAGTAACTTAGGGATGAAGAAGTCCATACAATCCTGGTGTTCCGCCTTTGACGTTGTGGGATGTGTAACTAAGCCCTGGAGGACAAGTGTGGCTGTTGTTTTCGGGTCCGGGCTGTTCACGGTAGAACAAAGCACAAAATCGCGGCAACATGGCCATCGCGCCGCGAGGGCAAGAAAATGCAGTCGCCACCCTGCCCAACCTGCTCTCCCGAATTCCATAGATGGGGAAGAACAGGCCTTGGATTTGTCGTAAAGCGTCCAACAAAATTGGAGAAGAGAGGATATTTCAGGGTCGGCCTGGTCGGTGAGCTTTCCCAGCTGTGAAATGATTTCCTGGATGTGAGGTTCGCTCACAAAGTGGTATGGGTAACCAATGCGCGGCTGGAGATATCTGGAAGCGAGGGAGGCAAACAAATAATTGATGTGCCGAGATTCCGGGGATGACATGTCGTAACTCCGGATATGCCAGCCCTCCTCCGTGTCGGTCAAAAAGTCCCAGGCTGTCCGGTGTATAAACTTGACCTGTCGGCGGAAGGCTATTCCGTTTGCGAAGTCATCGTCTATATAGTAATCAACGACCTCGGCCAGTCCGGCACAGCGAAGAAGGATATGCTTTTGAGTCTGGTGGCAACTCTGCAGGGTCTCAGATTCCAAATCTGGAGGGATATGTTCTGATGAACTACAGATTGCATGTCGTAGATTGCTCCAAAGACTGTGACTCCTTGGATATGCCGCAATTGCAACCTCCCCCAAGGCTAGAATTGAACCAGCATACCGTCTGAAACTCGGCTCCAAAAGACCGTTCTCTAGTATGATGTTGAGATAGTGTGCGCCTTCCTGGCGGTGGGAGGGAGTATCATCGTTGAGTCGTTTCCAGAGGTCCGAATAGAGATCGGCCAAGTTCGGAGACAGATCTTTGAGGCGAATGGATACTTCGTCTAGTGTCTGGCCATTTTCCAGGCCCCTGATAATGCTATTGGTTGCTAGGTGAAGCCAGAGGAAAACACCCTCGGCCTTTTCTACCAGTCGCCAGCGTAGGTGGCCGGTTTCCCACGAGCGGGAATCAGGTATAGTTCCCAATTCGACGAACGGCGAGAGCTTGTCGTCCACGTAGCGCACCATGTCGTTCCATGTTAAGTCCTGAACCCTGAGCTGTGGTTGCTGGTCCAGATGTGTCTTGAATCTCGATTCCGGTCGGCTTGCTAAGCAGATTTTGACCTGTGGGAATGCTGCCAAGCCGTCGATGACCTTCATTAGACGCCAGGAGCCATCCTCGGAGCAAACCTCATCGAGGCCGTCAATGAAGATGCACACCGGGCGCTGAAGCAGCGACAGCGTCTCATGCAGGGTAGATTTGAGGTCTTCCACGGACCAGTCGTCGGCCGAGTCCTTGCTCTGCAGGGACGAGGCTGTGTCCCCGTCGAATAGGGACTGGAGGACCGCATTGCTGGCAGAGCCCAGCTGATGCATGAGCGAACAGAGAAGCCCTTTGATGTTTCTTTGCAGTATGGAGCCTGGTTTCCAAAAGAAGTGGGATATCATCAGGGTGTTTGGTCGCCATATGTCGACTGCTTGTTGTGTGCGCGCATCGTGGAGGAGAAATTTGACCAGGGTGCTTTTCCCAGCGCCCGGTTTGCCTTGGATCCAGTATTTCTTGCTTTCAGATTTGAGCCAATCGAGAAAGTTGTCCCAGGGCTGTACATCTTCCGTGTCGTCGTCTAAGATCCAGTTAAAGGTGCCTTCGAGAGACAGGGACACATGGCTGCGCCGCTCGTTGAGAGCCGGGAATTTGAAACTTCCCAGAAGCTTCTGCAGACGGGCAGCTTTCTCTGCATCAAGATGGATCTGGTGCATGCGTTCAGAGTTCATGGCGACACCGGCATTGACCTCGGCTGTTGTGTGCTCCTTCAGCTCCTTCTCGAGCCGCTTCCCTTCGGCCTGGGTGGCTGCTGTCACCGTCTGTGTCCCGGCCTTGACAAGATCGCCAAGTCTGGTATGTCCGTCAGCGTACTGTGTGACGAAGTGCTGTAGTTGCTGGTCGAGTGTTGCAAATTCGTGCTGCTTCGCGAGCGCTATGGCCTGGGTCTTGGAGCTACGCGGTTCGGTCATCATTGTCAGCTGCTGCTGGAAATGTAGGAGATTAGACAGTAATGACCTAAAGAGCACTGACAATATTTGAAACAGCAGCCGGGTCTCCAGCAGTGCCTTGAATTCCTCTAGTGACTTTTCCCGCCTCTGGATGCGTATTTTCCGCCATCCCTTTCGTATCGCAACGACAACGGTATTGACCAAGCTGCCTTTTGCTTTGCCATCGACGAGGAATTTGACCTCCTCCTGAAGATCGCGGGCGGCGACCTGACATTTTTGCGACAAGTCGAGAATATCCTGCTCAGCCTTGGTCCGGGCCTCTGTTACAGCATAGTAGCTCTGACGAAGGTCTTGCGTGGAGGTTTCCAGTGAGTCGCAGACAGCTGAGAGACGATCCGCGTCGAGAGCTGCTCCCTCGTAGACGGCCTTGCAAAACTTGACTGTTTTGATGGAGAAGTCGACGACGGCGAAAATGTTGCAGACCAGGCCTAGGGCTTCGAGACCGGACATGGTGGGCGAGGCTACATCTTGAAATGCGATGGACTGGGGACTACTCGCGCGGCTGTCCTGTCGAGAATTATAGGCAAATTTTGTTCGCACCTCCTGATGAAGCAAGGTGGCAGATCCAACAAGGAAAAACGCAGGGTTTTGACCGATAAAGAATACTTGGTGATTGCTTCTTTGGTGACAGAAAGGCGATGGAAGCCATAGAGAAGGAGGGTACAATGAGGAAGAAAGCGGGGTAGAAATTAGAACAAGAAGAGGACGGACATGAGAGCAGGCGTGGTGCGCTTTGCTGGCTGGACACAGGAGGCCCTGAACGGTGCGGCTGAGGAGGGCCAGTCTACGCTGTGTTATTGGCCTTCATAGATTGGGCACCAAAAGGTCCCGAGCCCATCCCGTCATAATTTACCCAGGATCAAAAGGCGTGGTGTGTCCGCAGAGCATACAGCGGAGCCACAGCTTCGGCGCGGCGGGGGATAGACCTATGAGAAGGACGCCTTTGCCTGGGCGTGCTTGGTCGCGGCGGTTCCGAGGCCGACAGC